AAACAACCTGTTAAATATACACCTAACAAAATAACAGGAGAACAAAGCTTAAACTCAAAAAGGTATGGCTTAATGTGAATATGGAGAGCAAAATAAGCAACCAAACTACTAATACGTTTGATTTTTGTTGCAGATATGAGGTTGTCAAATTAGAACCTATTGTCAAACACATAAAATGCATGAAATTTTTCAAAACTTTACAAAATAATATCAATCTATTTATTTGTTGGCTCTTTGCCTTCCATCTTTCATCAGCTGTTACGTATCCTGTTGTTACTTTTTTTTTCTTGGTCAAACAATGTTTGGCATCAAATATTGGATGACGATGATGATGAACTGAAGTTTTGCTGAAATTTTAGACAGCTACTGTGCGCTTAATAAAACAGCACTAAAGATGGTTTGTCGACAAACATCGATCAAAAATAAGTGTGAAAAAAAAATGAATTATAAATAAATAAAGTATTTTTTCCAAAAAAGTGAAAAAAAAAGTTTTTTTTTATTTTTGATTATCAACTTTTGAGCAATGAGTATCGTCAATAGGATTTCACTGTTGGTTCTTGAACTCTGTCTCATCCCTCCTCCGCTGTTTTTTTTTTTTTGCATTGGAAGAAAAAAAACGTAATTTTGCGTTGTTTTTCTTCCTTATTCTCATACTTCTTTTTTCTGTTATTTTACTTTTTTTTTGCTCTATTTTTGAGCGTTCCTAAGTTTTACTTCGTTCATTCTCAACCCACCTATTGCGAAATTGTAGTGGAAGAGGAAAAAACAAGAGCAAAGATTAGACAGAGTCGAAATAAAGGGTGGGAGGTTTTAAAGAAGGCGCTGGTATAAAGTTGTAGAAATTTCTCTAATTTTTTGTTTCAGAGAAAAAAGTTTTTTCATTAAATAGGTTAAATTTTATAAACAATTAAAGGGAAACTAAAGTTATTAAAAATAAAGTAATTTTTTTGTCAGAATAAAGCAGTGGTCAATTTTTTTGAATCTACAACTTTTATTGAGGCTAACTAAACGAGATTAATCGCTAAGCTCTTCTTCAAAGATTGTACAGTCAATTATTTTCAAAACTTTTTCCTGCATTCAAAAGATGTTTCCTTAAGAAACATTAAAAGTGTTATGAGGAAACTTTAGATCAACTTTTCAAATACAAATAAATTATTTTTAGAGATGATTAATTAATCAGTTTTTACATTCGGTAGTTCATAATTGCCATTGATTACGTGTGAAAATTTATAAATCAATTAATTCTGAACATAAACATTCTTATATTGAAATAATATTTTCTAACCTTTTCGTATTGTATCATTAAGAGAAAAAAATTGTCAAATTAGTTGTTTGATGTACAGAAAATTTAATGAAACCATAAAGTTTAAGACGGAAAACACCGTTAAATTATGTGACCGGAAAAATACTTTTGATAATTTAAAAGTAAAAAACTGGTAAAAGCTACTAAAAAGAGTGTTAAAAGCATCTGGATTGTACTCTTTTATATCCTAAGTTTTTACAATTTTTTTGAAACAGAACTATATGCTTGAGTGATATTTTGAATTGTAATCTGTTAGCGAACCAGAATATAATATTTATTACTTCAAAATCAAAAAAAAAAAAGTGGATTTCAAAAAAGAAAAGTTTTGTTAAGCAATGAACATATTGGTTGTTCTGATTGTATAAAGTAAAAAATCATAGATTTGAAACCACCAAAAATTTTATTTCACTTCCTGCTTTTGTATTTTACAAAAAACTGACAAGCGCTGAAAGTTTTAGTTTTGCATCTGCTTGTTCAAATTTTGTCAAAAATTTATTTTGAAAATATTCAAAACTTTATCAGTCTTTCCCTTATTATTATTATTATTATTATTATTATTGCTCAGAAAGGTGAAAAATTTGAGGGGGAGGAGGAGGAGGAGGAAGAAAAAGTGCTTTCTTTTTTCGTCACCAAAAGAAAATCTTAATCGTTGTCGTTAGGAAACTTTGTCACATGAAACTGTCAATAAATAAATTTAATGGAAAAAATACTAGACGCTATTAGTGCTGTTATTGAGTGATTTGACTTACTAAAAAAAAAAAGAAGAACTAAGTATGCTTTTAGGTCATTCAAGTTTTTTTTTTTGAAATAATCTTAGCAGAAACAAAAGTAGTTATTGTTGGTCCATGTTAACGAATTTAACAGCAAAAATATCATTTACAATGATAAGAACACAAATTTTTTAGATATATCTGTCTGCTAAAATGAGACTTTTTAATAGTTTCAGTCCAGTATATTCATAATCAATTTATGATCATACAGTACACTGAGATTACTGCTTAGTATTTCTTAGTCAAATATTGAATCATTTAAACTGAGAAATGAAAGAAAAAAGAAATGCACTGTCTAATAGTTGTCTGGAAAATTTTATATTAAAATTTAAATCAGCAATTAGAGTTTTAAAAAATTTTTTTCCTTTGACTGTAACAATTAGTAAATATTTCTATTTGCTTAAAATTTATTCACTTATATACATTCTGATGTAAATGTCTGTTTGCTTAAAATTTATTCACTCATATACATTTTGATGTAAATTTCTGTTTGCTTATTACTTTAAATTTTTTACCTTTACTCGAGGCAGAACTGTTTCAGTTGTTAAAACACTTTGTTTTGCATTCTTGATTGATTTTATCAGATCAACAATGATTTGATGCATTAACTTAGTTACCAAAAACTTGTAATTTTTTCTACTTTCTCCGTCTTCAGTTTATTCAGTGCAAAATAACAAATGAATTATTGATAAGAACGAGAACTGAAAAAAAAAAAAAGAGTACACTGTTTAACGTATAACTGTCTCTTATTCAATCCAATGCGATGACTAACTTTTTGACCTTTTTTTGAAGTTTTTATCAAGACAAGCGGAAATCGCTTTTGAACAGCATTAACTAAGCACAGGGAAGCTTAAGTTCAGAAAAATTTAATAAAAGATCATTAACGAAAATGTCAACATGATGCAAATTTATCTGTAACACTTGGTGGTAAACTGAAAACAATAAACGTATATCATCTAACACTGAACAGAACAGCTTTATCAAACTGATTTATAAAGATATGCCAATTTATGATTTATAATTTTTGGACTTCTCTGATTTAGAAAGGCGTTTCGAGAAGGGCAGCATGTGGTACACTGGTAAAAATTGCATTGTTTACTCCTTCTTATCACTAAACTTTTACTTTATTCTATGTAGTTTTGAAATTTCTTCTAAACATTTTGATTAGGGGGTAAAACGTTATTTCCTAGCGGTTTTTCTTTGATCCTTGGGAAAAGGAAGTATTGCTGCTGTAGCCAGCTGTGAAATCAACAAGAATGATCTAGAAAGCTTTGTTTATATGAGCAGGTTGTACAGATGCAATCTGCACAATCTGATCAGAGAAGAAACGCTGGAAAATGAGCATCTACCAAGTAGGCCATTTTACTTTAACGATCACATATAAAGATAGCCACTATGATTGTTTAACATAATGGGTTCAGAAACTGAAGTTTTACATCAAACAGTTTCTAGTCGGCAGGGAGACTACATAACTGAATGACTGTCATAACTGAATCGCGACAGATCACTGCTATTCAGCGCCATAGAGCTCTTCTTTTGCGGCTCAAAAATATTTTAAGTTTAAACCAATTTCTTGATTACGCTAAAAAATTAATGATGCGAAGTGATTGGCAAAGATTAGACATTAACTAGATGTCAGTCACTTCTTAGTTGGATGCTAGTACTGAATCTTTATCGGCTTTAAGCAATAATCAACATTTGACGAATAATTTGTTAAACAAACTTTATGCACTACCTCATCGCTTGTACGAGTATTACTGCAAAAGTGCACTGCCCAGATTTAGAAAAAACGAACAAAAATTTGGAAAGATTGAGCTTTAGAACTGCAAAGAGAGAGGAAGTATCGTTATACTGCATGATACGTCAAACCGCACGCATCGAAAAGCTTGAATAGCAAAATATAAAGTTTTGCTATGTCTACTTAGCTCTTCAGTACTTTTTCCTGCTGTTTATTACTTTATAGAAATCTCAAGTTATTTATTGGAGAAAGAATCTTGAATTGCTTCGAGCAAGTAAAAACTGTTTATAACGGTCTTTTGACCTTTAAGCGGGGAGTTTTTTGATTTAGTAGGTCGTCAAGGTTAAATTCACGCCAGCAAATGAGTTCCTGTACATATACTTATTTTGACGCTAAATTTCAAACAGAAGTTAAAGTTATTTTATTTTACATTAGAGACATTGACTAGTGGATTTTTATAGACCAACTGAGTATTATACATCTTATTTGCTTTTATATAAGCATCAGATTCTGTCATATGTATAAATTAACTATTGGTGTGATAGAAGCAATAAAAGCAACCGAATTGGCTAACAAAAAAAAAGCACAGAAATAAACAGGTTTTTTATATATAGAGTGTAGTCAAAGATAATACTCGCTAAATACCAGTAATTTGAAGAAAAAACCTGAAGTAAATTGCATCTATGCTCTTACCAAATAAACAGCAATTGATTCGTTTCATTTCCCCTATTTTCTTAACAAAATTGCACTCCAAACCTCGTCAGATAAAGCATTGTTAATAAGCATTTCAAACGATTTTTAGGAGAAGGTTAGGCGATGAATTTTATTTCTTCAACTACCACAAAATTAAGTTTTGAAAAATTTCTAAAACTGTGCTAAATGAATAAAAGTTTTTAAAAGAAAAAACTGCTCAGGCTTGTATAATATTTTAGTTTGTGGCATAACAATTAAAGGTAAACTAATTGCTGATAATCGTACCTTATATTCAGCACAAAGTTTCCTTAAACATGTCATAGATGTAATAGCGACTTAAAAGCAATAAATCGTGTATCTAAACAATATTTCTTGACCACGTATTGAGCTGCTAAAACGTATTCAACTTTCCGAAGTGATTTCCAACTTTCTGCATAAAACTTTTATATTTACACCTTAGTTTCTTATGCGAAAAACGTGTGTCGAATTAAGGTATATGGCAATAGCGCATCCAATGCAAAGCCGGTGGTTAAGCAGTATCGGTAGAGCAAAGAAGGCTATTGCAATGATTTGGACCGTATCAGCCTTTTTGGCAATACCGTCTGCCGTTCGGATCGACTACAATCACAGCAATACGCTGAACGGGGAGCGAGTTTATTGGTGCATGCGAGAGTTTCCCGAACTATTCGGTCCAGTTAGGAAAACTCTAAACAGAGCTTTCGCTTTGTATCAGGTTTGATAGCTTTTTTTCTGTTTGACTGACATAAACCTATCTTTGTTACTTAGAGGAAGTTATCGTGAAGCATCTAAGTATAATTTATTTCTCAATTATCTGTGTCGCTAACTGTTGAACCTGAATGATTCTCTGAATTTTGAGTAGTGTTTCACAATAATACATTTTTGAGATCTCTATTAAACCTTTCCACTTTTTACGTAGAAAAAAATTCTGTTTACTTAGATGAAATACGTTTTAGCTTAATTATACCACTTACTGAACATACTGTTTTTAAGTTGCAATATCATTTATCTTTCCCAATTCTATCAAAAATAATTATTTTCTTTTTTAATGCTAACATTTTATGCGTTTTAATTAATTGTCAAATCTAGATTTGAATTTACTTAATCTTTAACGTTTATAAGCTTTAAGAACTGCATTATGTTTTACCAAAAAAATATAGATTTTCAATGGCAAGATTCGCTTGTTTGCAGTCCTTGATCAAACACTAACCGATTCAAAAAGTTGTCATTTTTCATAAGATTTTTTCCTTCTCATACAACAGATAAAGCTGTGCTTCTATTATTACTACAAAAAGCGTCATTTTCAGCTTCTTCTACTTATCGTTTTTCCAGTAGCCACGATGACCCTTTGCTACTTCCGGGTAGCAGTTGTTGTTTGCAAATCGTCCAAAGGAAATGGCCTTACTACTGTTGTGTAAGTTTATGATTAGATAAATTTTGGCTTAATACCACGATATTATAACTATAAAAGCATTAAACTGACATCATTTTTAATTAAAATAAAGTATTTAATCATGGACCTAATTAGTGGCAAGTTTATGTTACTATTTATCATAATTATACATCAGTAGCTTATAAACCTAGTATATTATTTACAATCTTAATTTTTTTATATTACAAGAACTTTTAACTAGTTTTTTCAGTTCAGATATTCTGTATAAAAAGTATAGACTAACAATGCCAACTTTGGCAGAATATTTTTGATTGAATAAGCTAGAGGGATATGTTCAACGGAAGTTTTACAGCTACTTTTGTTTGATGCAGAATGTTGAAGAAAAAAGCAAATTTTAAAAAATAGCGCTTTCATAACAATGACAAAGAAAGAATCAAGTTGAATTATTAAAGGCACTGCAAAGATCATGCATGATTATCTAAGCCTTTGGTCAAATTGTTATCAGTTTTCTAAAGCTAACAGTGATAATAGAAGAAGACTTTTTGTTGTTCATGATAGGGTTTACGTTCTTCACTACTTTTAGCGTCGAATTCTCACAAACAGCAACAAATACGGGATCCGGGTCAGAATATAGCAGCATGGCTTGTGGAACGACTATGTCACTTCAAGATGCCACTAAACTGATGAAATCCCGTGTTGCTGAAAACAACAAGAAACAGGTTACTTTAAACAATAATTGATGCAAGAGGTGTTAACAACTTTTACATACTAAGCAAAAAAAAGCGTGTTTAGGAGGAGAATCCTCTTGTAACAGACAGAATCAGAGCTTCCTGTCAAGAAAATAATTTGTTTCCAATTGACTGTGGTCTATAACCAAACAGAAAAACCAAAATAAAGTGCTTTTCAAATAATTGCAGAGAGCTGAGAAGAGATTCCTAAACAAAGTGACATTTGTTTTACTTAGCAATCATATTTCACGTAAATTTTAAAAAAAAGTCACTTTCTGTCGTGTAAAATTGAATTATCAAAGAAGAAATGATCAAATTGTTCCTGTAATCTAAATTTATAAATTTTGACTTCTGACTTTTGTAAAAACAATATCACTTTATTTTTTTGAATTTTTTTTCAATTTTTTTTTTCAGTTATTAAAACAAAAATATTCTTTTTTGG